AAGAGAGAAAAAACCATGACTTCTTGCGATGGGTTTGGGTTGATGTTGCTGGATGAGGCGTTTGTGGGCTTCATCAAAGTGATATTTTGTATGCTCCACAGCCCAGGTATGATTGTAGGCTATACATGTTTCGCCCTCTTTTACCATAGAAGAAAAAATAAAACAAATAAATCAAAATAAATAAATAGATAAACATCCTTGGCCACTGATTTGGGACCCCCCCCCTTCACCCAGATTTGAGCCCTGCCCGTTGAGAAGAACGGGCAGATGGGTCACGAATGAGGGGCAGGGGGGCAGGAGGTGAGGCAGAAGGGGATTTTCATTCATCCAAATGAGGGTGGGGACTATTCCTCCCACATGGGCTCTCACAATCATGGAGCGAGTCACAATCTCTGTACATACTGACACACCAACGAGTGAGTTCCCAGTAATATCAGTATTAGTAGTAGTCTGGGTCAGAAATATATCATATATTACTATGCATATTCTCAAATTGATTATCTAGTCTATGCTGCTGCACTCTAACCCTATCTGTCCACTGCATCTTATTAAACCCCGTTCCACTCATTGGGAACCATCGATCCCACGATCCCACTCTTGTTGTTGCTGTTGTTATTATTATTGTTAATGTTCCCCTCCTCAATCTTCTTCTGCTTCTTCTTCCTCCTCTTCTTCATGAGGCTACCATTGTGAAATAATTAGCTGATTTCTAAACAAAACGGAGCCAGAATTCCACGAGGCACTGACCCCACTGCCCTACTTGAAACAAACAAAACAATCTGGACATTAAAGTCTCCAAATGGTTTCGCACCTCCCTGTTTAAAATATCCCTCGTTTCTCATGCATCGTTTGGATGACAAGTTTTTTCCATTTTGGGGTTTTGTTTGTTGATTTCTTAGTGGAAATAGTGTGAACAGGATGGAAGAATCCAGGATTTTATTCGGATAGGGGGGATATTCCTCCATCTTGGCAAGGACATGGAAATATCATTAGATAAATTCAAAGTGGAATAATTTTGCGTGTTTTTATCCTTGTTTGCCATTTTCGAATTTTTTGTTTTGGCCACTTAGTTGTTGTTGCAATTAGTGGAGATCCACGTAGGATAGTTTGACCGTGATTCAGATTCTTCTTTTCCATAAGTCTGAACAGGGAGATCGGTAAACTTAACAATTATATTTGAAAAGTCAACTGATTAAAATTTCAAATATTTCAAAGTTCCAATTTGCATTGTTTTCTGAATATATATATATATATTTATTTATTATATACAAATCTCATTTACGATAGACTTCATAAAGCTTTAAAATTATATAAACTAGTGTGTGTATGTATGTAACATTGTAACGTACTAATGTGGTATTTGATAATAAGAGCAAGGGTCTCTCGCCAATCCCTCAATTGTAAATCTTTAGAATTATTTTCCTCATTCACAAATGTTGGCAAGCAATTTTTTTATTTTTTATATTTTTTTCTTCCTTTTATTCATTTAGGAGTGCTCCATTCCTATTCTCTTCATAAAAATATCACAACATCAACTACAGGAAAAATAACATCTGATTCAAATATTAATCAACAGCTTGATGACATGGCCCACATTCCCACCCCCATAAATAACATCTCCCTCCCCTCCCCTCCCCTCCCTCTCCTGAAGCCCTAAATCCCTCAGTTTTAGGTCATGTCGCACCTGCAGCTGCTGCAATAAAGCGGAAGGCTTTTGAGCTCCCTTTCGGCACCGGAGCTGCAAGCAAAACCACGACGACAATGAAGAAGAAGAAGAAGAAGAGGACGGCAACATGATGTTGCGGTGCAATCAAGCGCCGGGGCAATAATTGTCGATGTGGTGTGAGGAGCGGCGCCGAGGGGATCACAGTGTAAAGCCGAGAGAAAGCGAGACAGAGAGACCCACCATGAGGGCTGGGTTGGGCTTGTCCTATCCACTGCGCCGGCTTGAACCACGCCTACGCAATCCCACGGCGACGACGATGGCAGAGCCGCAAAGCTGCCGTTCCCTGGGACGACATGAGGCAGATGGATGTTAGGTGTTTTTCTTTTTCTTTTTCTTTTTCCTTTTTTTTTTTGAAAATATTAACTGTTTCTTCTCCTTCTTTCCTCTTCTTGCTGGAGGATGCGGGTGCAATCCATCGACCACTTGTCCGATCACGTCCTACCTGTCGGAATCCTGGATGTCTATTTTAACCAAAGGAGAATGAAGGATCTATCCACTTCCATCTGACGCATTTGCATGTTTTTGCCGATCCGGCTGCGTGAGATGTTTTTAGGGTGGGACGATTGTTCAAAACCCGAGGATGGGTTTTGACTCCTGCAACGTCTGGAAAGAAGCTTGGCTTTCGTAGGGATCAATCCAAAGTGCAATCTTCAAGTTACTGACTCAAATTTAGAGAAGAGAAGAAAAAGCAACAAGAAGTAGCTCAATTAAAGGAAGGGAATCAGAGAAGATCCTCATCAGCACATGAAACAAAGTTCATGAATAGAGCGGTTTCAGAAACAGCTGTTAGGTTATTAAGGGATAGACCTCTGTTGCAAGGCTACAAGGCTGGTTGGTTAGTGACACACTTCACATTAGTTCACCTTATATAAATGTATCTAATTGCGGCCGTTCAGTGCTCTACAAGTGCTGAGTTGTAAAGCGGCAATGGAAGAGGAGTTTAGGGCTGTGGGTGTAGGAAGTGACTTGTGAACAGGGAGGGAGCGAGGGAGGCAGCACTAAACTAAATTTTCCTCTTTGGTAGAAGCTCAATTTATTTTTTGTCTTCTGACCCTGAGCGGACTTGGAGGGGAAAACTTTGAAAAAAAGCCTCACAACACCAGAGCCCCTTTATCGGAAAGTTTGGAGGCCTAGCTTGGCTCCCAAAAGAACTTGGATGATGATTTGTCGTGAGCAAGAGGTGGGACCTATGTCAGCCATCTTTAGCTTTACCGAGTGTTTGGCGGGGGCCATTTGGAGATGGACTAAGCTCCCATCTCCACCATCTCCACCATCTCCTCTCCCTCCCACACTCACACCATGCTTTTATGACTGCAACAATTTAATGCCCACCGTAGGAGGGAACTGAATCAACGAACCATCATGGTGGTGGGATAGGTTGTAAGTGAGTAGAAATCAATCAAGCAATCACATCAATCCACAGTCATCATTAAGAAGAAGAATACGAAGAAGAAGAAAAAGAAGGGTTGAGCGGAAAAATATGAGCTCATTTTACAAGTAAAATATTTGGGATTCTATGCCAAGATAGTCTGGTTATCAAAATCCAAAGAGTAAGTAGGTTTCTTGTCTACAGAGGTAATGTGCTTGCCAAGGTCAAACACAAATACCAATAAGGAAAAGGTCCGGCTATGTAATGATTGATTGCCGTACTTTATGCCACTTTAATTTCCAACATCTAAAATTAATAATATAAATAAAAAATAAAGAAAATAAAGAAAATGTGGAGTGAAACTGTTATAGAAACTTGAGTTACTAATTAAACAGCGCTATCTGTCTAGCTTTCCCACTCCACATCACCTGGAATTGCTGTGTGTATACGCCATTGTTGTGGTTGGAGCAGCTGGAGAAGCAAACCTGTCCGTGGAACAGGCTTCTGACTTCATACTCCAAATGTGTTTGGGGCCGTGTAATCCTCTGGTTTTACTACCTCCCAGGTGAGAGGATCAGGGATTCACTCCGCAGTCAACTACAGCATGTGAAGTCTAAAGCCTAAGATTCACCAAAATTGTACCCCAAGTTATCATTGGGAGCGGTGAGGCATTTCTTCAGCAGAGGCCCCACCAACGCTGCCTTGTCCAATATATATATATATATATATACATACAAAAACAAATTGTATTACTCATTTGATAATGCCATAGGATTTAAAACGAGGGCTGTTTCAGCATGGGCCAACCTGGTGGTCCTGCAGTTCACTTTCACTTCACTTCCAGTTCAGTCTTTCTTGCGTATGGCGCTTCCCTCTTCCACTTCAGTCTAGTCTCAGATGTAACGGAAAATTTAATTTCTTACGACTGCATTACTGTTGCTAACCCAAAAATTCTACACAACTGGATGTAATACATGACACAGGTTTCCGCCGGCATTCGATCAGCATGAGGAAAGCCATGAGGTACAGCGTGCGATTTTTGCTTAAAAAAAGGGAAGTGATTCAGGCCCATTCGGTTAAAAACATAGCCCATGTCAGAAGAGGAGGGATTCTGGAAACTCAACAGTGCAGCAGAATCTAGAAAACTCAAAACCCACAGTCTTCCCTCGAGCTAGTGTAACCCAGAACTAGCCATGCAGACCGTATTTGTAACAATCATGTAGAATAGTTGAAAATGACCACCAGCATTCGGCAATGAATGAAGTGTTGTGCGCTTTTCCTGTACCCTTTCGGACTGGAATCGGCTGCCCCCAGAAAAGCGGAAGAGAAAACGTACTCTCGTGGAGACTCGGCAGAACTTCCCACAAGTTTGCATGCATACCGAATCGACTGCCCATCCGCCCACCGCGAACGATTCTTCACAGAATTGCGTAGCAATCTACAGCCACAAAAAAAAAAGAAAAAGAAAAAGAAAAAGGTGGGTGGGTGGGGGAAGAAAGAAAACATACACAAGATACAAAAGATACAAAAGAAGGCAAGGAAGAGACAGACAGACAGAGAGGGACACGAAGTATTACTGAGGTACAACAATGGGGTTCCTTTCTTCACTGTGGAGGAAACAACAAGAGTAAAATGATTAAAAAAATAAACCGAAAAAAACTTGCCGAGAGGCTAGAGAAAAACAAGTTTTAGCGGCTTTCTGGCAAACTCTTTGCGTACAAGAAAGTCGCGTTGAGGGAGAGAAGGAGAGATGGAAGAAAAAGGAGTTGGGTAGGGCCATGCTATGGCAGCCATGGCAGGCGCGGGCGAGAGACAGCCTGGGCCCAGCCCCGGAGCAGCCCCACAAAGCGAGCCCGGGGTTTCGACGGGCACTCTCTCTTGGCCACTTGCATAAGTAGCCAGCAATTCGGCATACAACTCGTTTTGGATTTCTTCTACCTTCTCAGTGCCTACACATCTCATAGTCGAGCTCATTTGATCTGGGATTCTGCATCTCGTCTGGAGCGCCGGTCATCTATATTGTCAGAGATTCCTTCCGTGCACTTTTTGGGTCCGGATTGATTAAGTTATTCCACTCTTTTTGGAGCTGTGTCTGTCTGTGGAGCTGTGTGCACTCGGCTGGGTTGGAACGATTCTGGCTCGCGCGCTGCCTTGATCTGTATCGATAGAGGAATGTTGGAGCTCGTATGCGTCGTGTGCATTGGTTTTTTAGTTTAAGAGTGAGGACTCGGGTGGTGTTTTATTTGGGCTTTTCGTCACCAACCTGTCGACAACGTCGTGTTTGAGGGTGGAGCTGTTGTACCTTTGGAATCGTCCTTTCTTAGCACGAGTTGCGTTTGCGTAGTGTTTGGGGTAGAGTGCGTGAGTGTTTTGTTTTTGTTTTTTGTTTTTTTTGTTTTTCCCTCTCCTCTTTCGGTTGTGAGTTCTCCGAACTATACAAGTCAACATGCCTTGCCTGTGTTCTCCCTCCACCCACGCTGGCTCGTTCCGGTGCCGCTTGCACCGTTCTCATTCGTGGGGCGGACGTACTTACGTGCCGAGGTCGGGTGAGGATTTGGAAATGTCGACGGATTCGTTGATTGAGAACTGCTTGAATAAGGACTCGAAGTCAAACTTGAAGCCCGTGTCTTCACTCCCTGCTCCCTCGCGCACTCCAACTGTTAGGAGTCCACCGAAGGGGACAAGCAGGTTGCGGAACATGGTGTGCAGCTCAGACGAGGAGGACGAAGTTGTTAAGCCATCGGTCCCTGTCATGTAAGTTAGAGTGTCTCATTCACTTGGTTGCAATCTTTGCTTTCAGAGACTCTTTTGTGGTCTCTTCAAATCGTGTCTACTCAGAGAATTTGTTTACTTTGTTTGTTTCTTCGAATTTCTGTCTCACAAGTAGCGCTACTCAATGCAGTGAACGTATGCCCAGCATGAAGATGGCATCGGGAACTGGAGGCAGCTATTCTTCGGCGCCTGGTGGGCGTGCCGCCATGTTCAGGATGCTCAAGACTGGCCAACCGATTTCTAGGATCTACTCATAATGCTATCAATCCTTGGTAGTGTTCCCGACACATGTATGATATCTTGGTCTCTCTTCTGTAATTAATTAGAGGTCATATGCCCGCTCCGATTCTACTAAGCGTCGGCACATGAAACGCGTAACTTTGTATAGTTCTACGAGTCGTTTTTTTTCTTTTACACCGGTTTGCACACCGGATCTACTGCCGCCTGTTTGATATCGAATAGAAGAGCTTGGTTCCTCTATCGATTGCCACAAAATTTTCGAGACCCAGTGCTAGGACCTTATCTTTGTAGAGATGAACAGTCATTGTCGTCCGAGTTTTGTGGACGAGTTTTGTACACAGGGTGAGCATCATTTGTGCTCTATAGCATGATGTTTTTTCTAGTCGTGTAATCGTCTCTTGGGCTCCTCTGTACACATGTTACTCGGCAATGGTGTGTATGGAATGTCAGATCCTGTGGCTTATGCACGATTCTCACAAAATTCGCCTGTTATTTCAAGTCGTCTACGACTCACATAGATTTTGTCACAGTTATGGTTGATGCGGACCTTCAACTGCGTGCATCATCATTGCTTTTGCAAGATGGAACGTATCGTTGGAGGCTTTGAGATCCGTGTACGTTCTGAGCCGTTCATGTGAGCAAACATGATGTTCGCTGTAACCCCTCTTCAATACACAGCGTCTCGTGTTTCCATGGTTCTTTATAGGTTGCGTTACTGACTTCGTGCACCGTCTGGCTTTTCATTCGTGTGTCTGCACTCCCCGCTGATGTGCTCAGTTTCGTGGTGTCCGTACTCGTTGCAGCGTCGCGAATTCAAGGTACATCAATGTGTTCACTATTTTCCATGTTCTTTGTCTGGTTTTTCAGCAAACCTTTCAATTCATGCGGTTTTAATCATGTGTTGTTAGCCGATGGTAGTGATTGTGTGCATGCTCTAAAAAACTCTCGTACTTATGAATGAGATAAAAGCCAAGGGTGGAGCTAATGTTTATTTCAGATTCGCAGATTATGGTGACTGTCATAAGAGCATGAGTAACAAGCATTTCCTACCAAAGTACAAGGGTTTGAGATAACGATTGGATGCCTTTTGGACACGGTGTCTTGATGCCTACTGGAGTCTGTGATGTGTGGCACGTGTATTTGGCGAGAGAAGTATGGTTGGAATGCATCAGGTATTCGAGCCTTTCTTATGCATCATTGTTTTGAGTGCTGTACCATGTTTACTTCAGATCTTTCTGCAATTCGGGCAGACAGCCATGGTTCAAGTCCATGTGAGATCTTGTTTTAAACGTTTGTCCCCTAGGTTATTACGCTCTGTGAATTATCTCAACGTTTGGACATCTCATGACTGACCCAAGCAGACGTGAGTGCCCGAATTGTCTTTTCCTCCTTGGTGAAGGTCACCATATTGATGCCCAGGATGCATTCAATCTGTTGCACTTTTCGCATTGTCCCAACCTCCATAAGCAATAGACTCAATCGAACCAACAGCACAGTCGACAAAGATTGAACAGATCTATAAAGCTTTTGAAGGATCAACTTCCTTTCGGAGACGTTGTTTCCAAACTCGAGGTAGACAATAAGTGCTACACTTTGCTTCCTTGACAAGGCTGATTATATATATGCTACTTTCAACCTAAAGCAGTAGCCCCCATCGAAACATCACACCTCTTATTTCGATTTTAGAAGAGTGTTGTTCTGGAAGAACGCATGTGCACGCAGGACATGATGGATTTTGGAGATAGTTCGATAACATCATCTTGTCTTCGACCGCAGGTTCTTGACGTGAACTACTTCAGTTTGATGTTTGCCAAAAGAAAAGATTATGGTTACCTAGGAGCGCATTGGAGGTGAGCTTCCTCACAAATCATAGACGTCATAAAAGTAGCATTGAATCGTTCGCGTCTTCAAGGCCCAAGTAGCGCCCAAAGCTCTGCCCTCCCGGTTGTCAACGTAGAATCGGATTGGCTTCTTTACACATCGAATGCTCCATGTCGTTTCCACCTGGATGTCGAAAGAACGAGATACAAACTTCCACTCTCCATAAGGGTAAGGTGAATAATAATAAATGCGAAAGAGTCATGCATTCGGTGCTGACGAAGCGGGAGTGTGAGTGGGTCGGTGACGTGGTGGGTGGATTGCTTTTATTGCCATTGGAACAAGCTTGGTCTCATGTATGTGTTCCGCAGATTTGCCTTATTTACCAACTTTCATGAAATGTGAACGAACATTCGCCGACAGTGTCAGAAAATTGGGAGGTGTCTGATTTTAATTGAGATGGTGTTCTTATATATTCGATTTGCTTTGCATGCAGCATCGCTTGCAGGATACAAGCAGACGAAGGTCAGTTGCTGTTGGGGAACTGTTTAAAGGTGTCAATAGCGCGGTGGATATGTTCTACTTCTTCTATGTTAAATTGTTAGTGGACGTTTGTTGAGGGGAATTTCCAGAAATTCGAACTGTATACGATTTGAGAGATATATAGAAGGGAAATTTCTCATTTGCAGTGGCAAATTGAGAGATGTCCTATATCATCACCTGGGCGTCGCATACATGGATGCGGCATGCAATGATTATGCAATGATTGATGGACAAGATTTTCATCTTTCCACAATGGAACTGTGTTAGTGTAAGGTGATCACTTGAACATTGTTACTGTGTACACTCTGCTGAATGAAAACATATTCGCTTCACCGTCATGGTGCTACAATAATTGCACCTGTCCACCGCAACGCATGTCTACTTTACACTGGACTACGATTTTGCAGTTCGCTTCTGCTATTCGTCCAGTGCTACTGAATGTAAGGTGACTGACTTTCAAAGGACCTACAGAAATTGAAAACAATTGACAGCCTCTGCACTGAAGTTGTACAGAGGAAACATACGTCTATCGGATATGGATGTGCAAAAAGATATCAAAATAAACATCTTCTGCACCTTTTAGAGCAGATGTTCTAGGTGAGACGCATCTATTCTAGCCGAAGATCTAGCAGCATTGTCCTGGGCCCTGAAAGGGTTATGTACGTTTAAAAGATACCCAAAGGCTGCTAACGTCACCGTGGGTTTGCACTAGCATTCGAAGTGAAAAGTGCTTGTCCGAGGCATGAGGGAGTGAGGCTTCATCACCCAGCCGCTCCAGATGCGAGAGAGAATTAACCAGGAGGTCTGGTTGTCGGTATTAACATCAAAATAACGCATCTGCAATCCTTCTTCCGCCTCTAGAGCGGCCAATTGATTCACGATCAGGGGGAACAATCCGATCTGGTGTGGTGGGAACACAGATTGGACGGCCTGCTCGCTCCGACAGGAAAAAAAGACTTTAGAGTATTAGGGAATCGGAGAGTTCTGATTGAACATCTGTATCCGAATTCAGGTCCTCACCGCTGTGCTTGCGCTTATGGGATGTCGGGGTTCGCAAAGAACTGAGAGTGCTAACGCCTCTCCTCGACTGAGGGGTCAGAGGTGAGGATGCTAGTCGAGCCATTCCCCTCGTAACTCGGGTGGGAGTGGTTGGGATAGCTTCTACACCGTGCACATGTCCTTCTGTTTCATCATCGCTGTCACAGTCGCTATCCTGAATCATCTGTTCCTTCCGATTCCGGCGGGGCTTCTGCTTATCCACCGGTGTCTCTTTCTCCTCTCTGTTCTCAGGTTTTCTTGGTGTTGATCGTCGAGTCGCCGCGTTCTGTTTGGATTTCGGGATTGACAACATCTTCTCAATAGGTGTCTCAGCTTTCTCTACCACAGTCCCAGGTGACTTCTTCACAGAAGAAAAGTGCTTATTCTCTTTCGTCTCTTTTTGTACCACAACTTCCTCATCATCACTTTCCTCCATAGCCCGCAGCTTGCTCATACGACCTTCAATTTTTCCACTCATGCGTTTGCGCTTTGCGGCTGTACCCCCCATCTTCCAGCTTGCTTCACCCGCCCACTCCAAAAGAGCGGCATTCACAGATTGCGGGGGATCAACTCGGGCATCGCTAAACTTCACATCACAATAAATACGCGGGCGGGGCAGAAGCCTTCCGTAAAACTTACCAGGGTTTAATCCAACCATCTTGAGTCTCCAACGAATAAACTGTAGGGCGAGAAAAGCTGAGACGTGACCCGTTAATATCAGTGCCCTCAGGATTGGAGAGGGACAAATGCCGACAATCTCACCCTCGAAGACCTGAACGGAGTGTACGTCCGTAATTGCAGACTGAGCGAGAGTTCCACTCCAACAACACCGATGAGAGATGCGCTCTGGACAAGGGGTCGAAAACAGAACCGCTATGCAATGACAAATTCAGAGATTCACCTTCTCGCAGATAACTCGACACTGGCTCCTGGTGCAAAGACACAGAAACAGATTCCACGCGCACACAACTTGACCAGACTCCCAAAATCTAAAGCTCCGTTTCGGGACACTCAGGACACAATCCAGACCACAGCGACAGAAGGAGCCACTAGAGCTAAGAAGCTTGAGAACAAACTCACGTAAGGTTAGCCACGATTCGCATTGTCTCGAAAATTAGATCTCTGGAACCGCAGAGGCGTCAAGGCAATATATGCAGAAAGCAAAGATCAACAATCACCTCTGGCACAGCACGGCTACATTGCGGAAATAAGCATAAACGGGCGTCTACGAACGGTAACCTGCATCTTCGTAACAGAGTCATGGAGAGTCTCATGTTAATTGCACGAAGATTAGTGGCTCGAAAGCTCTACCCTTTACGTGGATCAAATGTGTGAATCTGTCGATTGGGAGGGAACGGTCTTCCCGCGCTTTCGCAGAGCGAATTGGCGGGGGCGGGAGATTGGATGAACAGTAATAGTAACCACTTTGGATGGATCATCCCTTGAAAGGTGCCGATTGGGGAACTGATGACTTGACGAAGTGGATGAATGAATGTTGGTCCAGCATGGCGGGATGGCGCGGAATTCAAAAATTGATCCTCCCGCGGATTTGAGGTCGCTGACGAAGGATGATGTGACTGGATGTAACAGTTGCAGAAATTATGTGCAAATCTCCCGCGTCGCGGCGAGATGAGTGATGGATGGGGTTTGGGATGTATAGACGTCGCCTAGTGCACATCCAACTTTAGTTAGAACTGTATTGGCATTGAAACCCTAATTAGCACTCTTCAAGCACATGTCGATTCGAAACCCTAATTGTGTGTGAGGATCCATACACAACGCTCACCGTTGTAGGTGCAACCTACGGCATCCTCCACCGGTTTCTACGGCTTGTGAAGTGGAAGCTGTTGTGTGTTTTAGCATTACTAACCATAGAAATACGAAGTTAGTGTCATGTTCGGCCTTGACCCAGAGGACGGCTGAAGCTCAACTGGGTGTACGAAACTGGCATCCAAAAGCGGAGGACTTTTTGCAATTAGTGGGATGCTTTGACACACAACTGTAGCTGTGAGAATAAAATGAGTAAGTGAATGAATCCGGAAGACGATGCTTGTCTAGGCTACTTGTACTTATTCTGCCACTTAAAATATTTACACTTCGCCTCGGGATTTGAAGACGGGCCCTGCATGCACAACAGCCCTCCAACGTCAGTTATCGTCAGCGATAACATGAGCCATCCAGCTTCGAAATCAAATCCCAAGCCAAGAACGACGAGTGCAGGAAAATGGGGACCGCACCTGAGCTCGGGCACAGCAGTGGAATTTTCTTCCATGGTTGGGGCCTGGTTTCTTCATCACATATGTAGCACAAGGTTCATTGTGGCCAGAGCACATAGGGACTCTATTCATCATTGTCTTTTGAATTCTCTGCCATTCGATTTTAGCTGATAGTTTTTCATTGGTCTCGGCGGTCTCGACAGTCTCGACGGCCTCGGGAACATGGTTCTGTGATTCACAGGTACAATCTTGCTTCAGTGAGCTAGTGTTGGACGAGTCTGTGGGTTCCGCATTGGTCTCTTGACTATCTGATGATGGCAGTGCATCATTTCTTGAAATTCGAGACATATGTGAAGAGCTTGCGTCTATACTTCCTTCGTCAAACTCGGGAAGGGCTAAACCTCCGTCATGTGGGCTGTTAATCACAAACGTCTGAGATTGCTCTAGGCTTGGTTTTAAGAGGGTTTCAGAATCTGAATCTTGGAAGGCAAGTTTGAAGGCGTTTGCGGCTTCAGTGTTCTCCTTCCCCTTCGTTGTTGGCAGCATGAAGAACGAGTGAAGGCTTTTTTGTTTACTATTTTGGGACTTGAGAAACTTCGTCACTTTGGGTGGATTTTTCCTCACACAAGTGGCTGTGGGAAGCGACAATCTAGGCTTCGTTTCCTTCTGTGCTTCAATGTCCATAATCAGACTACAAGATCTTTTCTGTAAGAAAGATGCTGCAATCCAATCCCAGGTCTCTAAGTAAATTTGCAAACTGAAAGCAATAATACGACCGAAACTTACTACATTCATGTGACTAGTTGAAAGCTTACCAATACTTTGCTGGCGTCCCCGAATTTCTGGCATGAAACGGGCCGCAAGAGGAGGCACATCATGCTGTTCTAAGGGTGGCTGCGGTCTGAGTTGCACATAAACAGGCACGTGGTCTGAGCCGTCCAATTTTTGGGTCTTCTCTCCTCCCCTTCTGAAACAAGCTTCAACGTTAATAAACATGGGACAAGAGAAAAGTAAAAGCCATCGAGAGAAGAGTAGGACTCTGAGTACCAGAAGAGTGAACCTAATCTGAATGCATACAAATTTCAATTACATGCCCCCCAGAACCTAGAAACAAATGCCTTCGACGTCGAGAAAGACGCACAGTAATGAAAAAAAATACAAGGAGCTGGCAATTGAAGAGGACGATCTAAGTAGCTTATAAACTTCTAGATGCATCAAGTTCAACGCTAAATCTCAATAATAAGCGACTGTATCAAGCAACAGCCTGCAATCAACACCCGTTCATAACATACCGTGGAACAGAGTCAGCTTTGAAGCGTTTGAACTCAAGAAGGATGTCACAGTCCTCAACTTCACAAGTTCCAAAATGGTGACTCTCTTCAGCCTTCAAGAGAGAATTGCTCTCTTCGGACCGAACCTGGTGGAAACAACCGCCAGCCGCAATGATAAGATCAAGTCTTGTTCCGTAATTAAATTCTTCTGAACCTGACATTTGGTTCCAAAACGTGTAAGCTCCCTCTCTGCAAGGATGCAAAGGTACCTTGTCACCCATTCGGCTGCAGATTCATTTTCATGCCGCAACCTGAAATTTTAAGTTCTAAATTGTTCAAGGAACATCTAAATCACGAAGAGAAGGACTATAAATAAGACTTTGTTACGTGTAGATCAGTAGATGAACTTCAATTTGGTTGATGCACCTACATAATGAGCGAAGAACTGCAATAGAGCAGTGATCCATTCCAGGTTGAGATAATAACCTGATTGGATGGATTTCTCGAAAGACGTCAACGAAAGGGCCTCCATTGGCTCGCAGCTGAGATCGAAACCACTGACGAATTCTGAGTTCAAACAAACACCATAAACATCACAAGCGAATTACTAGCATTATGATAAGCCTTAAAGCAGTTAATTATACAAGACCTGTTTTCCTCACAACCCCTACGTCGACTTGGTGCAAACAGCTCACGTACGCCATCGACACTTTGAAAATCTCAAGGCAATTCACAAGGAAGGACAAGACTGGGGATGAAAACGTACGAACTCTTATCAAAATCGGGGTTGGAATCAGAGTGGCAGGAATCAATAGGGAAAGGCGATATATTGAAGTCCCCAACTGCTATCACCCTTCGCCCATTCTTCAACAACCCTTCCCATCTGTTCTGCACCCAGACGTATGTGATCATGGTAAAGCTCCTGTCACAAGAATTCCTCGACCTTACGTCTTCATACATTCCTACCATGGATAAAAACATTTGTACCTGATATCAATTTTCTTAAATAGATAGCAGGGAAAATGAAAATACCTGTAGAGCTCTATAAAATCTTAGCTTGAATTCATAGCGTTCTTCATTATCAGGGCCAACACTTGGTCCATAAAGATTAAACAAAACTGCACAACAGTTTACTATGCTCAACACACACACGTACACATACACACAAATATGTATATATATATATATATATATATATATATATATATATAAAAAGCTTGAGTCAGTGAGAATGCCAAACAATTCTCATGACATAAAGGTTCTGACAAAAGCATGCTGAAAACGCTCGTTCCGTTGAACCTACCAAAAGAGCCATGATCAGTAACTAGACAGCGACCCTCCCAATCCAGTTGTAGTAAGTCCTGCCGACTCATATTCTCCATGTTTAAAACCTCTTCGTAGCACCCAACCCGTGCCTTGCCACCTTCTATTTCTCCAGTTCGATTTGTATGGAGAAGACCTGCTACGTAATACATTACTTAAAACAAACTGAACTACAAAAAAATGACATTCTAAAATGCCAGCTATACGCAAAATCCAAAACACAAGCGAGTATACGAGGTAACATTATAGGTTAGGGGGTGCGCCTGGAGCACACCCAGTGAAGCACCAATTCAACTACATCTTCACACGAAGATAAGCAGAAGACAAAAGCAAGAATAACATATTGAGGAACACAAGGTACAGAGTTGAAAGCTCTTAGAGAGGTTTGTGTCCCAAAATACATGATCATTTTTGTAGTTCGTTTGGTGGGTACTTGATTGTGCACCTGTGAAGCCTTCATCTGCAGCTACAGGCACGGCAGTGGGTGTGCGGCAGAACGTTGCTACTCCTACATTTCAAATTTAAATGTTATACGCTTCCAGTTACAATAACACCCCCTGATGATGCTATGCAAGCAGATCAATCAAAAGCAACCCCAGGCGACCCATTCATTCTTGTCAATCTAGGGTATAAAACTAGGGTGATATTTCAGCCCACAGCTTGTGAACATTCATTAACATCAATTTCAGATGATGCTACAATAAATGAGAGTAAAGTCTAACCAGAATAACGGACACGTCCCTTTGAGACAGTTCGAGTGCAAGAGAAGAATGATTCGTATCCATCCGCCACTGCTATCTCGGCCGTAAGCTCTTGCCTTGTTAATTTGGTCTCCTGCAATATAGAATCATACCCACAGCTATTGCAACAGTTCCTCCAGATTAACTCGCTGGATCTCCCTGACCGTCATCTGGATGAGATAAAAACACGAATTCCTAACTAGTGAATGCATCACTTAAAGTGCAAACGTAACCCAAAACTTAGCTTTTCCCAACTTCCAAATAGCCCTAAAACTACTGCAGCCCCTGATTAATGCTAACATTGTCAATTGTTAACAACCCAAATCATATCCCAGTCGAAAAGCATTCTCAAGGATCCAAATTTACGCACGGGAGGATTAATACAGTAATTTCCGACTCTGTAATTCTCGGAGTGAGTGCTGATTACTCAGAGGAAATCATTTCCTGCTCCCAATAATCAGCGTAAGCTAGTGTTGCCGTGGAAAAATGAGTGTAAATTAAGTGTAAACTACACTTGATGAGTGTAAATTAAATGCAAAAATTGAGTGTGAACTGCTCTTATTCCACTCAATTTGAACAAATTCGACGCCAGGAAATAATTAAATGGGTAAGTAAAATGACAGGAAATTTGAAACAAGTGAACACACCTGTAAACAGATGATGTCAGACTCGAGAGAGTCGAGGAAAGACTTCAAGGTGCGAGGCGGTACGAGGCGAGCTCGCAGACTAAACACGTTATACGTCACGATTCGCATTGCGGTTTCCTCGGCCACACGCGTTCCTCTAACACCTGACACCCTTTTCCGATGCTGCTGCCATGCGGCTCGAATCTCACAAACCCATTGGCACCGTTTCTGAGCAATTCCAACACTCAGATCCCTTCACTGCCCTTGTCAGCAATCAGTGGACACCACGAGATGTGTCCAACTGAGCTCATAAACCCTCTAAAACCCATTACCGATTCTCCACGATTCTTCACGATTTCAACGCAGTTTCCCAGCTACGACGAAGCTCCAGTGTGGGTTCGCCCGACCATGCTCCTGGAGCTCCTCCGACGCTATGCAAAATCGCGTCGTTCATGATCTAACGAGAACCCGGACACCGGAATCCAAAGTGGTTATTTTAGGGTTTTGGAATCTGTCGTGAGTGGCACCCATTCCCCTTCACATACAAGCCAATGATTTGTAGAATAATTCAGCATTTGGAAATGTTTAATGCATTTTCATGAAAATATCTGAAGAAGGGAAACAACTTTAAAACGAACAAAACCACAATTAATAGAAATATGATAATGGTTTATCCATAGTAAAACAGAGTTTGAAATTGGCTTCTAAATATCATTTTTTTATTTAATTCTATGACTGTCATTTCAGATCCTTAACTGTGTTTTGAATTCATTGTTTGCTTCTTCAAAATAGAATTATTGGAAGATTGTGCATGTTTAAGAATCCATTTTTAAAGAACTTAATGTACAAAACATCAATAATTGCATTTGACAAGTTTTGGTATTTTTTGTTTCTTTATACCACATCTTAAGAAAATCTTAATGAAACATTATTGTTTTTTATAAATAAAAAATTCAAAGCATCATACTTAGAAGAAAAAACATTAGAGCTTACCAAAGCATGGTAGAGATTTCATTGTTGGATAAATGTAAAATTATAAATTTATTACTTATGTTTATTTTTAGTTTTTTATTTTTAGACTATATTATTAATTATCTTTGAAAATTTGAAGAGTTATAATAATAAGTTCTATCCTTCATTTTATGGTGTGGCTTGATATTTGTGGTTATTTATTAAATGAAACAAAGTAGCTTTGTGTAATACATAATGTTATTATTGAAGAAATGCTAAGTACAATAAGATTAATGTTTGTACAAAACTTGTTCTTCTAAAATCTTTTAGATATTAAAACTTTGTAGGATACAAATTTCATTACTTTGACCAAAAGTTTTGATTGCAAATATGTATAAAAGGGCACATTATTAAATTAAAGTCATTTAATTGACATTACCACAATGCTATTAGAAATTCAATTCTTAAGGATATGAATCACAAATAATGAAAACCTCAATATATTCTTGTATCACTAAAAAAGAGTAGATATTTATTCAAAGATAGTATAATATTAGAACTAGAATGACTATTGACAAGGACAAGAAGACTAGAGACTCTTGAAATAAGATTAAGAACAAGAAAGGCATTGACAAGAGTAAAGAAGGCCTCACTCGTGTATCAATAAATATTATCTAAGTAAGAGCTATCTGACAACGTTTTATAGAACCTCCAACATGTGTCCAACTTATTAGCTAAGTTTTCAACTTATCAATTACCTACAAATATGCATAAGTCAAATTTGTATCTATGAAGTTTTTAAGACGCTTTTCTATAAGATATTATCAAATTTACTTCTATTTATTTATAGATAACTCTTTTAATCTAGATAAACATGTATTTCCATGAAATTATCTCTCTTTCTAGATATGAGTTCAATAAAGAAGAATGATCATATGTTGAAGAAGTCCATGATATGATAAATTATATTTGTCACATATTTTGATCTTTATTTTCTTTAAAGATAGTTGATAGGTCATTTTAGCCATTGATAGTGTCTCAAACTAAAGAGGGAAGACCACCTTTTTATTTAATTATTATTGAGGCTTTTGTAACTTTTTTCAAATAAAACATTTGGAATACTATTAAGGGTAGTTCATACCTCTAATAATATAATCAAACATTAAAAGTATCTTCTAAAGTTGTGATATCAAACATGTTGTATTTCACCATCTATTTGGAAAATAAAAATGTCGCTCTTGAGAGTCTTCATTTCTATTCTATCATATCAAAAGCTATGCCAATCTCAATACTTTATTTGATAACTTAGCAAATAATAGTTCTTAAGTTAAATCTATTGGTTGCAAATTCTCTCCTTTTTTAGCACCATAAATACAAAAATTAAGAAGAAAAGGTGGAATACAATATTTAATGAATCTTGTTTCTTTTATATTAAAGAATTATTTGTTTCTTCATCTTGATTTTAATAAGTATTCTAGATGAAAAACTTTAATCTTTTCTATTATGTTTATAAGATTCTTAAATGGCTCCCATGTATATTCAATAATATTATATTTGTGCCAATATAAAAGATATTTTAACCTATTTTGATACCACTTTGAATCTAAGACTTCTTTGACCTCAAATTCTTTATTATTGTCCATTTCTATATGATGATGTGGTATTTGTCTTCTTTTTGAGATATTTATTGCCTTGTATGGCTCAAAAAAGACACATAGAACATAAGATATGATTCAAGACTATGATATTCTAATTTGTTGTAATAGTGACTAGTCTTGTTATGGCAAAAAAGTAACCATATCTTGTTGTTAATATGGAATTGAGGTTGTTCTTTGTAATAAGCATTTGTATTGATTTTTTGTCATTCTTGAGCTTCCTTTAATTGTGCCTTCATTGTTGCATGTGGCTTTAATAAATAATTTATAAAATATTTTGATGTAGAGTTATTAATTTTTAAAAAGATAAAAGTATCAAATTTAAAAATTAACCATAATTAATAATATAAAAATTATTAAATAAAAGAATATATTATATTATTATAAGAAAACTTTGCCAATGAAAAATAACTTGTTTAATCATATTGTTGGTAGCTAATAGTATATTTCACATATTGCTTTAAAGCTTAATTCATCCATTCCATTTGTCTATCAATTGAGGATGAAAAGCCAAATATAATTTTATGTCCTCATTTAAAATCTTGAAAAGAGTTTTCCAAAATTTTAATCTAAATTTGATCTCTCTATTCAATATAATATTCCTTAACAATCCATGATAGTGATAAATATTATTTTAAAAAAAATTAGTTATTTCTTTACATATGATAGATTTTAAACATGGTATAAAATGTGTCATTTTAATTAAATCATATACTATCACAAATTTAGAGTCATATGAACTTTAAATTACAAGATTTGTAATAAAATCTAGAGAAATAAAAGACCATGGTTGTATTGGCAAAGGTAGTAGTTGCAAAAGTTGATAAAATCAATGTCAAGGAATTTTTGATCTTGAACAAATATCACATGGTTTTACAAAGTTTCAAATTACTTTTTATATTTGAAACCAACAAAAGTCTTTAAATATTAGTTATAAAGTTTTATTGTATCTAAAATCTACATTAATTGAAAAATCTTGACAAGCTTAAAAAACACATAATTGAGATTTTTCTTCTAAAATATATAAGCATCCTTTAAAATAAAATATATTATTCTTAAATTCAAACTTTGAAATATCATAAGAATTAAATAGATTGTATTGTATAAACAAATATTGTTACATACGATACATTGAGTGCTATAAATCAACCATAAAGTATATAATTTAAATCAAATATAAATGTACACCCCACACACTCTTAAGAGAAGATTAGAAATCTATACCAAACTAAGTCAAGTTATTTCTCCCACCACAAAAGAAGGATCCAAGAGTTTAAGCATAAAAGTAAACGAACCAAAGCAAAGCTTTACCAAAATAGCTAAAATACCATAGCCAAGCAAATTCTTACAATAAATTCTCTCACTTTCAAAATCACTCATAATACTTGATTTAACAAGAATATCAAGTCAAGGATTTTTCTCTACTTAAGTACTCAAATTTTAATTGATATGAATAAGTCAATTAATAAAAAATTATCAATAAAAAAAACCACAAATCAAACTAAAATATATGCATTTAATAGGATTTGGCACTTGATGTTATATTACATGACAATTATCATATAAACAAAGATCATTAGACACAATACATCAAATGCTACAAACCAATCATAAAGTATGTAATTTAAATCAAATACAAATGTACATCCAATACACTTTTAAGTTCTTTCTTTAATTAATTAAGAGCCCCTTCAATCAACTAGGACTACAAATACACATTGTTCAAGATAAATCCTACCATAAAGTGAATAATAAATTATATTCTTTCAAATTTAATATTACAATAGTTATACCAATAAAGTGTGTGACATACACAATAGATGAAATCTTCAATCCTTATTAAGAAATGATACATTGCTAGAAGTCTTCTTATTGTCAAAGACAAGAATTCAGTGAAAGCAAATAAATAAGTAAGATTTTTTTAAAGAAGTATGACAAAATTAAAATAATAAAGTATGTATATTAAAAAAAAATTAAAATATCTATTGCAAAAAGACAAGAAAACTATAGACTCTTGAAATTAAATTAGAAGCAAGAAAAGAGTTGATAAGAGTGCATAAGGTTTTACTCTTGCTTCTATATATACTATTTATCTAGGAACTACATGGCAATTTTCTAAAGAACCTCTCAAATGTATTGATTTTCTATAATTCTTATCTTAACTTGCAAGGAAAGTTTTTTATATAGGCACCACATAGTTAGTTTTTTTTCCAAGCTACTAACATGTGTAGCATGTGATTAACTTGTTGAAAAATTTTCTAATCTATAAATCAATTATAAATATATGTGAAGTCAAAGTAACATCTATGAAACTTCTATGAAGCTATTTTAGAAAATATTATAAAATTCATTTATTTTTACTTATTTCTATCTATTCATATTACTTAGTTAATAATTATAGTAAATACATGTTCATAATATCATCTCTCCTTTTAGAGACAAGTTCTATAAAGAATAATAATCATATATTGAGTAAGTCTAAGATGTGATGAATTATATTTGCTATGTATTCTAATCTTTATTCTCTTTGAAGATAGTTAATAGGTCCTCTCAGCAATCAGTAATATTTCATTCTACAATAAAAAGACCATTCTATTATTTTATTATTATTGAGATCTATATAACTTATTTCAATCAAAATATTTGTAACACCATCAGAAGTTGTTTCCACCTCTAATAAAATTACCAAACATTGAAACTCTTTTTTCAAGTTATAATACCAAATACATTGTATCTTGCCATCTATTTGAAGAAAAAAAGGGCATTCTTAAAGGTCTTCATGCCTATTACATCATTTTGAAGGTTGTAATAATTATAATGTCTTATTTGATAAGTCAACAAATGATGGTTCTTGAGTTGAATCTACAAGCTATTGG